TACAGTAATTATAAAATAAACTCATAACAGTTAATGAAAATAAAAAGTTTTTCATCTGCCTTTCGGAATAAATACTTATTTCGACCAACTTTTAAAACCACCTACTACTAAACAATTCATACATAATTATGATATTTTTGGTGATTATTTTACCAGAATATTTGGATAATGGCCATAAAGTCAAAGTATTTGAACGTTTTGGTTTAACTTTTGTAGTATTATTTTGATTATTATTAAATCATTATTTAAATATACGTGCTTAAACTTTTTATTATGATTGTTTTGATTTTTGGAGCGATCATTTAAATAGCTTCATTGCTGTTTTTAATTCAATTGTATTAAAATTATTTACGTTGCGATTAAAATTATTTGATTTAGCTTTTAAGTAAATTGTGGTGACCTGTATAGTGTCATTATTGCTTGTGAAGTTAGATAAGTGTACGCTTATTAAGCATAATTTTACTTATAATTCGATTCAATAGTGCACTACGCGTATTACAAATGAGAAAGGCTATATAAACATGTTTATTCTAATTCCACTGAACACATGCAAAAAACAACATTAGTTAATTGCAGTGTAAATTTAAATTAACATATATTAACGCACCTCTGATATTCCCTGGTGAAAATCAGTACGCATAAAATACCTTGGAATTCTTTACAGAAAACAATCGAGATTGGAGCAAGAGGTATCCAGTTTTGTAAGACATGTCGATGTCATTGGTTTTGTCGTAAAATGGTCATCACTTGTTTTCTCACCTAACGTTCGATAAATACTTATCCGATTTTGCGGATGTAGCAAGTTGTGAAGGGACCACAGTTAAGAGCCTAGAGGCTACTGTGATTCCTCAACTTAAGACTATACAACCTTAGTAATATGGTTTTGATACGATTATCTATCTGTAGCTAATTAGAGACAGAACTGAAAGGTGACTTGCCTTGTGCGGGACTAGGATAAAACCAGATTCAACTGACGGTCAGACTTTTATCTCTTTAAGGGTCATTCCCGATTTTTCACAACTGATATGGCATAGGGACAGTTACACTTTGATCAAGTATACGCGAAAATAAAACTAATACGGTGTACGTTAAACATCGAGGGCACAGATATACAGACAATTTCTTCTATTATAACCTGGTTGTAAAATAACTGTTTCTATGACTTATTTTACAACTTAAACTTATTTAGCTCATAGTCTATCACAAGTATTATTTCATTTATAGAACTGTACTTTGTTACAATATTTTGTATTTTGAAATGCGAAGTTTGTATAATATATTTGAACGTATAGTTTCAATGAGCCAGTCAATATATAAGTGAATGCTTCATTAATGTGTTTTTTGTTGTTGTTTTTTGCGTGTGTGATTTTATTATCTTTTGATCTCAGCTACATCAATTAAATTTTATTGATGTTATTTCTTTAAACACTTTATATTATTTGAGTGTACCTTACTGTTTGAAAATGAATTAATTATTTACGCTATAAATGACTCTAGCGAGGGTTTAACAAACCATTTTCTTTAATAATGCCGGTTTTCTTATTCAGCGGTGTTAATACATCAAACTAAAGTAAATTCAAATGGTCAGTCAAGATAATTATCCAATAATAGTTTGTTTTCTACTCCATGATTAAACGAGAACAAATAAAGCCAACACTCACATATATTTTCTATCAATTATATCTTTCTGTTTTTAATTTGTAGTTCGATGATTTTAATGTGGAGTGGTTCTAAAAGAGTTCTTGTTCAGCTTAAAACTAAATAATTATTAGCTAATTTCATTTGGTTCCTAAGTTCCATTATGTTAATAAAGAAAAAAAGATAATACTGAGTATTTGTACTGATTAAAATAATCACACCAGTCAGTCAAAGCAGCAGTCAAACAGCAAGTGTAAGTCAAGGGGAGGGTTATGATAAAACAAAAGTCAAACAGCCAGAGTAAGTCAAAGAGAGAAAGTAATGATAAAACAAAAGTCAAACAACTAATGTAAGTCAAATAGAGAGTAATGATAAAGCAATACATTTACGGTTTACGTATATTTTTATAACTCAAAAAGTAATAGTAAGTCGCTTATACGGTACAAAAGGGCTATCTCTAATTTGGTACTAATGGACTAAAAAAGAATACAGTTTGTCAAAAACACCTACACCTATTTCTGGGTTCCTCTTATTGAAGAGTTGGATTTCAATGTAATTCTTATAAAGCACCTGCAGTCCAAGAAGCTCGTAAGGTCTTCGCATTTCTTCGTTACATGCAATAATTATTGAAGGTTAAGTCGAGCTGATATATGCATGTGTCTTCTTTAAGAGGCAATGTCTCACTTAGAATTATAGGTCTTTCATAGATGTAATATGTTACTAATCAAACCACTATTAGAAATACATAATTGAAGTTGTACGTCGCTTAGCCATGTGGTTAATATCATGATATTACTAGATATCCTGATTCTACTTATTCTCTACTTTCCGTATCCTGTGTGCGAGATTCCTTTAAGCGGATTTCGTTGATAGTCCACGTAGATTACACTCTTTTGTCGCCTTACGTCCAGCACCAGTCTGCTCTTATCCGGATTTTTATGATTTTATTCCAAGATGAAGACGTTCTTGCAAAGGTGCGAAGAAGATAATGGAGAGGCTTTGCATCTTCTGCCAAAGAGGGCGGAAGCAGAGAGATTCTATTAAACCGATTCGAAGTTGAACAATAACGCTTTATTCTAAGCCTCTCAGTCTCTTGATAGAAAAATCAACTGGTCTTTGAAAGTTATTGGATTTGAACCATTAGTATTGTCATTCACAATGGAGATAGCACACTCTGGTATCTTACAATCTGTGTCTAGGCTCACCAGCTCTACTTACTGCACTTTAGTTTTATAAACTGTGCTGGGTTTAAACAACAATGTTGACCCACTCACTTAAAGCTTTAGAAATTACACAACGCACAAAAATTATCTAAAGTTCTTGATAAACATGTAGTATTTATTCATAAATAAAGCGTCATATGAAGTAATGTGATAAATACGCAAGTTTGCGTGGAGGTTACAAAATCTTATGTTGACAAGCGAGACAACGTAACGGATAAAAAAACAAAAGCCATGTTTTTTGTATGAAAAGTTTGACAATATTATTGATGTGCAAAAGTATCGGAAAGTGCGCTAACACTTTCTATGTAGGGTTTGCACGGACGTTCATATTAAAGCAATACAAAAGTCATATGAATTTTCTTCTCTACAGATCATCAGAAGCTAGATATGAAGAGCTACCTGGCAAACTCACTCTATCTTCCGGTGTATATGACGCTTTTCAGCTATCCAGAGCATCCCAAAGTCTAAAACAGGTGGATAACCAAAACCGAGAATTCTTATTTTCATTCATGATCATCTTTTTTCAACAGGCCCAGTGTCTATCGAGTTCTAGAAGGAACTATGATTTTATCACGATATTTGACTACCTATTGAATTATTATTCTATGCAAAATTTATAAAGCTTTAAAATGCACTTTATAACCTAGTAACCCACTTACGCCATCTTATAAAAAAAAGTAAACAAACAACGCTTAGAAACAAATTTATCGTTAAAAAAATGCTATGTAGGCCTAGCTACTGAACTTGAAAAAAAAGAACGATACAAGATAGGGATGAAATGGATATATCACTTGATCCGGCTAATGATCCCATAGCAGACTGAGCCGTCTCGACTTTACATAAAGAATAACATCCCTACATTACTGGCTTTCTCACTGACCAAACAAATAATAGAACCAGAATTTCCAATCGTAAAATGTTACTCTATTGTAAAGTAGTCAAAAAAAGTAGTATTCTGAAGTTAAGTAAAGTAAAAGTACAATGCAATTATAACATCTAGTTTAAAGCAGACATACCTGGGAATTAATAAAACAGGAGTGTTATCTGTATTTCAGTGTTTCTGATAAACATTCGAATCATATATATAAAAGGATAATGAAACTGGGATGTTAAATCTGAACGCCACTGTACATTCAAATCAGATAAACGGCCAGGATAGAGTCAAATATAGCTGCTCTAGCTTTGAACAACTGACCACAAGGGTTTTGTCCGGCTCTTTGATCCGACTAACGAGATTGACTATCACTCTTATTATGCAGCCAAAGTAGCAAATACTAAGCGTATTCAGTGGCCTTACGTCTCGAACCTCGGATCCTTTAGTATGCAACCTGAAATGCTAAAGGAATATGTATGGTCCTTTAATACTTTAGGCTCCTTTTATGGTGCGATATGAGCAATACGTCTGCGTAAAGCTTATGTTTGAATTTATAAGTATCATAAGCAAAATAATAGACGTTTTGTTCAAATATCTGTAGATCCGTTATTGCACGATTTCAAATTTTTGATGTTTTAACTGTATTCATGTATTTATTTATTATTTATTACCAGACAATTTTGAATGTTAACCTCTCATTTTACAAAACAAAAGGACAGAGCCTATTGCAAATAGCGTCTGAACAAAATTAACATACATAGTCACTCTTAAGGAAATACTATAAAAACAACAACAATAACAAAAACAAAAAGAAACAGTTACTACAACCGGAACACCCTGGGTGGTAACTAAAATGTATCTCCTGAAACTGGCATTCCAACCCCCATGATGGTCAATTACGTACGTAAGCAGCATAATAAAAATAGAGGTGCCTAGGTCAAAGCCTACTACTATTAGAAAAGTGAAAATGAAATGTCTCTCTCTATATATATGTGTGTGTGTGTGTGTGTGTACTATTCTCTTCTATGTGTAAGCAAAAGTTTGGTATTCAAAACATTATAACAGTATGGCTCGACTCGTAAAATATAATTTTTGAGCCAACTTTTGCGAAATTGGATTACTTAATTTCTTACTTTCTGTGGATACTAGATGTAAAATTTGTGCAACCGTTCTTTTCATATTTCGTAAATATTCACGATTTTAGTGTTATATATTTCACACATGTAAATTGTTTTCCAATAATGCTTAGTGCTTTCTTTTTCTAGACGATTTGGAACCAAGTGTGCTGGCTGCAGTCAGGGGATATCCCCCACAGATCTAGTTCGAAGAGCTCGCAACAAGGTCTTTCATTTAAAATGCTTCACCTGCATGGTTTGTAGGAAACAGCTGTCAACGGGAGAAGAGTTGTATGTTCTGGACGAGAAGTGTTTCATTTGTAAGGAGGACTATCTGAATAGTCGACATAATCAAGGTGAAATTTTCTGTAGGAAATCTTTAAACATTAAGTGATATTTTTGTTTTATCTTTCACGTAAATGCAAAAGTACTTTACAAATCTTGAAACATGATTTTTCTTTTTCTTCCAAATTAAATCAGAATATGATAAATCTAAAAAATTATCTTTTTTTTCTATGTGTGTGATTTTTTATCTTTTTTAAACAGTGGAGGCTAGACAAATTCGTGATTTAATCCTGTGCCTCTAAGTTTTATCCTTGACAAGTACATGATTTAATCCTTTATCTCTAAGTCTTCTCCCTGTCAAATTATGGTTTAATCTTGTGTCTCTTAAGATTTATCTTAATGAAAACTCATTATCCAATCTCATGATTTAATCTCGTGTCTCTACACTGCAAAAAAGGTGTTATGTAAATTAGAACAACGATTATGTTATTTCACAACAAAGAACATTTATGTTCTCCAAACATAGAATTGCCTGAACTGTAACACTATTGATTGTTATAATGAGACAAATAGACGTTTTTTGTATGTCTTCGACAATACAAGAATGAGAGTTTCAGTTCAAAGTTTGGTTTATTTTAATACATTGTTGTGTTGTGAAGCCACATTTTTAACGAGTTCTGGTTTGAATCATTCGGAGATAACTTATGACAGAAACGAATATCAATCTTCATTTGAGGGGATTTAAAAAAAAAGGTTTTTGTGTAGTATTTGAGCTGTAGTATATGCTATTAAATACATGCCTTTACTTACTAATAAGATCGATTATGTGTAGATTGTATAAAATTCAACACAAAATTGTACACCAGCCAACAAGTTTTTGTGTTCTGTTTTATTAGACCAGAATGATTGTGTTGCTTCTAACTTGAACTTCTGTAGGTGACATTCAAATACCAGACTTGTGTTTCACAGAACACGAATTGTGTTGTTTCTAACACATTTTTTTCTTTGACAAGCTCGTGATTTAATCTCATGACAATAAGTTGTTTTATTTCTCTCCTCTCAAACTGGCACTTTTTCGGTGTTACATATATATACTTATTTTAAGTGTCTTCTTTTTAACTTCATCCTTTCCGGAAACATAATCAATTGTTCTCTTCCTCTCTTAATCTCTCACTCACGTTTATTTTTCATCAGTTGATTCAAAAACAGCAATCATCCAACTTCGCGGCATCTGTCCGTCCTCCACAAATCTATCACGCCAAGTGTATTCTTTTATGGAAAGATACAGAAGAAAATGGTACATAGTCTACAATTTTAAAGGTCCGAATAAGTACAGTAAAACTTCAATAGTGTGGCATTAATAACTTCATTATAAATGTTTTAATATATTAATCAGAACATAAACATCTCGCCTAATTCTAAATTTTCAGATGTAGTAGGTGAAACACTAATTCAATAAATATGTTTAACTTCGAACGATAAAGAAATCGACGTACAAAATGAAGAAAACGTATTAATACCCAATTTGGAATACAAGACACGTGAACATAAGTAAAGTAAAAAAAAAAGGAAAAAGTAAAACAAAGAGATACGTATAAATTATTTGAAATATCTATTACGTTAATACATAGAGTAAAATACAGGGCCTAACAAGAAATAAACTAACAGAACCCTAGACTGATGGTAAGGTGTTCTTTTTTGTGGTATAAATACTAATGTTTATATACTATAACAAACCCCTATATTTCGCATTAGTTGTTTTGAAGACTGTGAGGTTATATTTTAGAGAGGTATACTTGTCTATCCATTTTCGTGCAGAGAACCCATTACCCTTCACATAATAACAAGTTAGACTGTCGTGTAGATATTTAACTCACCGGTCAATATAACCCGTCACATTTAGCGAAGGAGACGTAAAATAAAACCTTGAAGTTTAAATCACCACTAACATCATCACTGGAGTTTCAACTATCGAATTTTGATGAGCGCCTCGAGCCTTTGTGGTTCTTTACTACTGTGATATTCAAGGCTTTATATTAGAACAAACAAAGTTGTTGTTGTTGAAGCTTTTAGCGCAAATATACACAATGGACTATCTGCGCTCTCTTCACCGCGGGGAATCAAACCCCAGATTTAGCTTTATTAGTCCGAAAACTTACCGCCAACTCACAAGAGGACAATGAACAAAGTACTGATAGTTCTCATTCACAGGAAACGTAATTTCTATATTGAATCCAGCACAACAACAACTCAAGTTTTTTTTCTGTTTTGTTAAATGTATATAGCTTTACTTTGCAGTGGTAAAATTTTCAAATTACTGACAAAGAGCTGAACATTTGAGTTACACCAATGTGAAACATTCTTATAACAAAACACTTTAGAACAGTGCATCTTCTTACCAATTGTAATATGGTAATGATGTTTCGGATTTATATATCTTACGTTATTTTCTTTTAACGCAGAACTAAACAATGGGCCATGTGTGCTCTGTCTACCGCATGGAATCGAACCCCAGATTTTAGCGTTGTAACTCCGTAAACTTACCTCTGACCCACATCGATATCTCTTACATATCGTTTTTGAAAGTTTCTGATTTTTATTAAAACATGTTTTGTACTTTTAATACATTACTCGTCTTACATAATATATTTTGGGGTTAATATCAGGGGTTGAATAATTTGAATAACTAATATTTAAGCCACGGGTGCAAGGCTGAGAAATGTATTGCTCATTTGATGCATTATGGGATATGTTTTAAAATGATCCCCTGCGGTTTTATGCACTTTTAGGGATTATGTCGTTAACGAAGTTCTGAATTGTTTAGTCACTTCAGCAGGCTTCCGCCCGTGGCTCTAACGTGGTATAGTGTCTGTGTAACTATTCTGAAATAATTTGTAACAGAATACAAAGAAATTGGAACTGGAATTTTGAACCTGAGTTGTACATTATGCGCATGTGGGCTGATTTTGAGCTGTTGATCAGAAGAAGGGACGGCAGCCAGCCAGCAGTAACCGCTGCCACAATAACTTTGTCTGATACTGAACCGAATCATGGTATAGTCTGTTACTTTTGTAATGCACCTAAACCTCAAACTTTGGGCACCTTGTTTCGCAGTCCGGCAAGGAAACTTTTAGGTTACGCCCTACCCGAAATCAAGGTTAAAACTGAGCATTAGCAAATACTAAAACGGGGCTGCAATGTTTAACTTCATAGGAAGACCTAAAAAGAGCGAAATGCTCTTGTATTGTACGGTTCAGTCTTTTAATTTATTTAATTATAAACAGAACAATGAACATTTGAAAACTCTTGTGCAGCAATTAAACTGTGACAGAGAATAACAAAGGCAGAAACTAATGGAATAATGAGATGTTACTATTGTAAAAATCATACGAATGTAAATCGGGGAGACCATCTTGTAGAAATGGGCGTCAGCTAGGGACGGACAAGGGGGCACTCCTGTCCCTCCTGGATTATAAATTTTGCTGCGTTTCCCTAGTTATATCTTTGATATCATTTTGTCATTCGACTCCCCTCTGTAATATATCCTGCGGACGCCCATGCTGGTAGGGACTTCTCAAAGTATAGTGAGAGCCTAAGTTCCAACTCTTTAGAAACTTAAAGACTGGTAATTATAGTTTACACCCTACAAATGATTACTAATTGCAGAAGATAATCAAGTTAAGTGTGTTGTAATAATAGTGTTTGGGCAACAAGAAAACGTTGGGCTTCAGCTCGTTGACATGGGCATTTGCATTCGAAGAGTCAGGCTTCCGCAGAAGAACCTTTCTATACCGGAAGCTACGTATTTTTTTACGTAAATCAAACCAGCTTGACTGTTGACGTACTCAGCTACGTGACTCGTGTTTTAGAAGTTTATCTATATGGCAGGTGCTTAGATTATACATACGTAAAATATACAATTACATAGAAGTATATAAACTTTAGTCATACGTTATATACTTGATAGTGGTATGTCATATTTTCAAATAGTAAATAGTAGTTTAGATGATAATTTATGTAGATATTTCTATATATAAATACATTTAAACACATGAATATTCAGTATAGCATAACTTTAGTTACTGTCCGTGAGTGTAGGAAACGTGAGGAGCGTATCGTATAATATATCTTAAAAGAAAGTGTGGAATGGGTTTTAAAAATTAACGATTTTTAATTTGACATGATGAAAAGTATGTTTATATGCAGGAAATAACGCAAAAAAAGGTAGAAATGCATTTAGTTGAAGAAAATTCAAATTCAAATGGAACTGATTTCTTTTCAGAACATTTCAAAAATAAAGAAAGTAACAACATTTGAAAACATTTGGAATTAAGTTTGTTTTTTTTTGCAATGATTGTGGCAGTTTTGTGATCAACAACTTCAAAATTGATTTCTGCTTTTGTTGTTGTTGTTGTTGTTGCTTTTCTCGTTCTCTGACTCTTAAAGATTCTGCGGCAATGATTGATCGTTGTTTCGTACGTCATAAAATTTCTTATTTTATTTTCAAAGTTCAATGAAATAATCATATTTCTGAATCTATCGCTTCGAAGGAAATGCAGTATTAATACGGATAATTTTTTATTATAAATATTTATACGTCTTAATCTTATTAAATACAATCAACAGTCTACTTTGGTGCATTCATCTCCATCGAAATAGCGGTGTTTTAGAGCTTGTAATTGCTAAAAACACCATAGCAAAATATTTATTCATTTATCATACACATTTTGTATAACAAAATAGCTGTACAACTAAATAAAAGAATTTTATATTATTAGTAATGGATCCATAACGTGAACTGAAATCTTGAATGCTTTAAGTTTCTTTATTTTTTGTTACTCTCAGTATTTTGTTTTGTGATTGTAAGTGTGTGTAAACTTACCGTTCACCTACCGGGCAGACTTTTTACATTTTTTCAAACTTCAATGTATAAATGCTTCTGTTATTTTGTTATTAGTGTTGTTTGAATATTAATATATAGATATGTATATATTATTATTATTATTAATGTACTTACGCTCGCATCCATTTACAATGAATGCTCTTTCGATAATACTATACTAATTTGTTT